CAAACTCCAGTTAGCATTAAAGCTCTGTGTTAAAGATGAAAGGGGAACCTTTCCAAACTATGTTTTTCCATTTGAAAGTGTTTATTAATCTATTCTCTCTGAAGCAAAAAGTTCAATGAAAGACAAAGATCAAAAGTATTTTAATATAGGTGAATTTTTTTTTTCCTAAACCAAACCAAACAGAAAATCAGAGGATTGCAGACCCCAGCACTTCAGTATTCTGCTCTAAGACTGACATTTGCTGGGAACAGCCCAACTGGCAGAACAAGGTGATCCCAGCCACTTTTTCCTCAACCAAACTCTTCCTGGGAATTCCCTATTTCCCATTCCTGACATCCTTTCACACCAGACCAACCTTCCCTGGGCAAGCTTTCCCAGCTAATTCATTTCCTTGCTGCTACAAAACACACCTGGCATGGGAGTCACACAGGAATGGCTGCTGTAGCATGGAGGGGTGCATGGTATTTAAAAGCAACCAGAGTTGTCCAAAATACAGCCTCTCAAAGGGCAAACTCCTGCTTCAAGAGACCAGCATTTCATAGAAAGTGGTCACTGTCTTTGTCTGGACCTCTCCAGCCCAGAAATCTTCTCTGCCTCCCCACCCAATCCTGCAAACCCACAGCACGGGCTCACAGGAGCATTGCAGGGATGAATAACCACAACAATAGAAAATTACTAATTTTGGGATGCATATTTGCCATTTTTCCTTAAAACTCCAATTTGTACCATCTATGAAACAATCCTTAGAAAATCCAGTGTTTAAAGTTTTTGAAGATCTGCTCCACTCTGGTCACTCTGGTGATTTTTAATGTTTACAGACTTTAAACATAATTGTTTAATACATGTTTATACCTCTGAGATGTCCTCACCTCAGTGCCCAACTTCAGCTATTCCCGAGGCAGAAAAAACTTCCCTTCCAGGCAAGATACTGTGGGAAAGCAGCTCAGAGAAGCCAAGGGATGCCCTCCTGTGCTGCTGCTCCCACACGGGGAGGAGATGCTTGGAAACTGCTCTTCACCTTCTGTGTGTCAGCCCCATCCCAAAGGGCAAAGCCACCTCCCAGCTGCTCCCAGAGAAGCAACTCCTGAGCTCTGCAAGGGCAAACGCTGCACTTCCAGAAATCCCCTTTGACAGATTAACCTGCCAAGAGGGGAAACTCCAAATATAAACCCACAAAGCCCTTTTCTCCTTGGTGAAAATATTTGTGGGGAGTGGGAGGGGACAGATTCCCTTCCCAGCTCTGAAGGGAGCAGAGGGGTTGTTCCAACTCTGCTCTCTGCCATTACTCAAGACGTGGTTCCTAGATTCCAGAAAAGAAACTCTCATATAATTTCATTTCATTGTAGGAACAAAGTATTTGGAGCCTTTCTCCACCCCAGAAACTTATCTCGTCACTTCTCTATTCACACCATGATTCTCCTCTCTAAGGCCTGGGCTATGGATCAAACTTCTACTTTGCAAAGGTAAACAGCCTCAGAAGTGATAAATATTTTAAGATGGGAAGTTTCATACTATCCCACTTCAAGGGTGTCAGAGACACCAGTGGACTCTGCACCACACACACAGAAAGACCAGCATGGTGGAATTACTTTGTAGAAACTAGTAAAACACAGGCAAAAGAAGGAAAAGGCAGAGAAAAAGGTGGAAAAGGTTTCTTGACAGCAACTTCCACCCTGCCAAAGCTCCAGAAATACCTGGGAACTGAGAGGCTGTGTGGCAGTAAACCCCAGGATGATAAACCTTTCATAGCTGCTGCAGGACAGTAAAGCCAAATAAACCTGGAATGTGGGACACCTCGGGCTCCCTCCTTGTCCACACTGCCAGGGAGCAAACACCATCTGCACAATAAAAAACCCAAAAGGGGCTTTGTTGGGGAAAGAAGAGTAATGCACAGTGGTACAGTATCCCAGCTCTGGAAGTCTGAAGTGTGGATCCTCCACGCTCAGCTCCCCTGTATGAGAAAGGGGAGCAGCTATAAAGTGACAAGAGGAGATGCACTTTGTCATTAAGGAAAGGGCTCTAACAACTCAGCCATAAAGTTTACAGCTGGGAAAATAAACCTTTCCATTTACAAACTCACAAAGCAAAGAGTGGGTCCTGTACCCCGCTTTGCCACTAAAGTTCCACATCTGACTTGCCCGTGGTAAGGCGATGCTTCCCTGCCTCTCCCTCCCCTTCACATGCCTCGTTTCATGTCTTCTGGGAAGCCCAGCCCAGCCCTGGCTCCAGCCTTTACTGTAAATCCTGCGCTTCCCCTACCATGTTCTGCTCTCGGGGGGCAGAGGCTCCCGGTGCCCCCGGCCTTGAGCTGGGGATGTGGCAGCATCCCTGGCAAAATCAACCCCCCGAGGCTGCAAAAGGAGGCCTCTGTCCAGGCAGGCAGGGAGAGACCATTCTGCATCACACAGATTGATTTTGGGGGCTCAGGAGTGTAACCTCACCTGTCCTCCTCAAGCTCTGATGCCAAACCGCATCGGGAAGGAAAAAGAGTTCCTATTTCCTGAGTTTCTATTTCCTGAGCTCTAAAGCTGTGTCATTCAGCCTCTTCCGAGAGTATTGCTGACTTAGGGTGCACTGCTCCCCCCAAAGCCCAAGAAGTGCACCATGTCCCACCCAGAACCCAAGTTTTGGAGGCAGCACCCCAAAGCCGAGCTTTCCGGGGGGTGGAGGGGAGGGTTAAGCACCGTCTGCTAAAATGGCAGCTGCTCTGACGCCGAGCTACGTCTTGCAAAGTCAGCCCTGCCCTCATCATCACCATCATCATCATCATCATCCGACTGCCGGGAACTGCTCCGGCTCCGGGGCTCTGCGGGCCGGGCCGGGGGAGGTGCAGAACCGGGGGGGCTCCGCCTGCCCTGAGCACCCCCAGCCCCCAGTTTGTCACTCCGGGCTGTTGGGGACAGTCCCGGCCCCGCTGGGCAGCCACAGGCCAGAAGGTCGCTGTGCCCCCTTCTCTCCCATTCACGGGTGTAACCCGGCTCTCCAAAACCGGGGGGTGGCAGCTGTCCCGACCCCGGGGCTGCTGTCCCCCTGCTTCGTGTCCCCCTGTCTCGGGGGCGAGGATGTTTCTGGGGGCAAAGGGAGCGAGGAGATCAGGCAGACGGAGAACGAGCGAGGTTTGGGATCTTCAGGGAAGGGGGTTCTCACCCTCTTCCAGCCCAGGATTGCCAAAAGTGGAGGGAGCAGCCCGGTCCCAAAGTCATCAAGGCCACCCTTGGCGGTGACTTTAAGCAACATCGCGCAGCGGGACACCACCTCTCCAGCCGGGACAAGCTCCAGGACTCCCGGGGGAGGAGAGGGGGCCGAATTTCTGTCTCTCCGACAGCTCGAGGTGCCCCCGGACCCCCCGAGAGCTGCCGCGGGGGAAAACGATGCCCGCTCCTCGCTTGGGACCGAGCAGGGGACAAGCGGCGCTGCCAGTCCCGACCGCTCCTGGACGGGACCCCCGGGAAATCGCAGACCCCGACCGCGGCCACCCAGCCCGGGAGAGCCGGGACCGCTCGGAACCAGCACCCGGGACAGAGCCGGACCCGCCGCTCCGGACCCCGCCTCCAGCGGCACTCGGGACAGCGCCCGGCTGCTTTCGGGGAAGGGGAAACCACAACTTCCCGGAGTTTTCCTCCTCTTTGTGCGGCGGGGATCCCAGAGACCCACAACACCACTTGGAAGGAAAAGAAAACAAGAACAAGAAAAAAAAAAAAAAGGAAACAAGGGGGAAAAGAAAGAGAGAAAAAAAAAAGAAAAAAAAAAGAAGGAAAACCAAGTTTTCCTTGTTCTTCCCGAAGCAGGTGAAGGAGGGGAGAGAAGGGGGAAGGGCAGGCAGGTTTGAAAGAGCCGAAGGGGACAAGTTGTGCCCGGGTTTCCCGGCGGTAGCAGCCGGCGCTGGTTTGTGCTTTGCAACACGCGCCTGCTCCAATCTGCGCCGCTCGGGAACAATAAACAGGATCATACAAAGAAGTGGAAAGGCGGCATCTTTGCTTCTGGTTTCTATGACAGCATCAGAGAGAGACAAACCAACTATAAACTCTAATTCCTAGATTCCTCCTCCCCCCCTCCTCACAAACTCCCTTTTGTCTGCCATTAATTAAAGTGGCCATATGGAAAAGGCTGATAATAACAACAGATGAGCCAACGAGAGAGAGCGAAAAGGAAAGAAAGAAAAAAAAGAATAACTAAAAGTAGCGGCAGGGCGATGGCGAGGGTTTAGCCGGGGCTTTTCGCACTTGTTTTCAGCTCGAAGCGAGGGGGCTCAACAATAGCGGGAGGGCAGCGGCTGCCCCCGCACCGCTGCCCGGCCCCATCGCGGGGGGCACTGGGCAACCTGTCCCCTTCCCCTGCCCAGCTCCGGAGAGCCTGGCATGCCCCGAGGCTCCTGCTCCGAGAGCTGGACCCCACGACCTGCCCCTTTGTGTGGGAGAGCCTCCGGGGGTGCCGACCCCCCTTTGGGGCCGCCTCCCCGAGGAGGGTCCGTCCTACCCGCCGGCAAAGTGCACCCCAAACTCAGCCCAACTGGCCGGGGTCGATGGCAGCGCAAGCACATCCTCAGGCACCCGTCCCCTGCCCCTCGCTCCCTCTCCAAATAACCCACGGAACAACCACAACGACAAACTTTGCTAAAATTGATAAACAGATTAGCCAAGCAAAGCCTCTTCCGAGCAAGCTAAAAATAAGAACACGCAGATTTCTGCCGTGGTCAACGTATAGAGAGAAATCCACAAACATGGCACACTTCCCTTGTGCCTCGCTGCTATAAATAGAGAGCTCTAAAGTAGGCAATAATCGGAAAGAAGAGGGGGGGAAAGGGGATAAAAAAAAAAGAGAAAAAGAAAAGTCTGGCGGTGGCAGGAGGGAGCAGCCGCCAGCCCTCCGCACCCGCGTCCCCGGGCGAGGGGCGAGCTCCCCGGCGCCCCAGGAGTGCGGGGCTGCGGACTTGGGCTGAGTTTTGGCAGAAGGGGATGGTGAGGGACCCACGGAGCCCGGTCCCGCCCGGCCGTCAGCACCTCCGAGAGCTCCGCGGCCGCGGGGCCGCCGCCGCCGGCGCAAACTCCTCCCGGCGCCCGGGAGCGTCTTCTGCTAACACCTCCCTCCGGATAAACATCCACCGATCTCGCGGTTCACAAACCCGGCAAGCATCCTCTTCCAGAAATATTCAGAAAGTTTCCCGGTTGAATGCGACGTTGTGTCTTTTTTTTTTTTTTTTTTTTTTTAATAAATCTCCTCCTTTCTCATCTTATTCAACCTCTTTTCAGTCAGAAGCATAACATGTCCACTAGCGTCTCGCAGCCGGCGAGAGAGCGAGCGAGCAAAGATGGACCTAGGAGCATGATGATCATCATAAAAATCCCCTCGGTTCTCCAGTGCAATTTTCAAAACAACAACCCAGCCTTCGTGCTGTAAAGGCGAAACGCCTGCGTCTGTTTACATCAACTGTGTGCTCCGAAAGCCTTTCCCCTCTGTCTCAATCCAAGGCAGGGGAGGGGAGGGAGGAGGGAAAAAAAAAAAAAAAAAAAAAAAAAGAAGAGGGAAAAAAAAAAAGAAAGAAAAAAAAAGAAAAAAAAAGCCAGCATTATCTGCCTTTGTCAGCGAAAGAACATAATATTGACTTACCTTTCCCCACAGCTATTGTCTGCCCCTTTACAAAATGACATCACGGAAACCAATCATGAAATTTGCATGGGGGAGGTTGTGGGGGGAGAGTTCTTGGAGGGCAGCCCACTTCCCTACACCAGTAACACGCGTGTAAGACGGGTTGTTGGTTTCAATTAAATATCTGATACTCCTTAGTGTGTGAACTCTTAAGCCTGCTAAAGGCAATGTCTCATTTACTTAATGACCGCTCTCATTAATGGAAATGGCACAGAGGGGGCTTGCTGCGCCTTCCCTTTGTAAATACACTACCCATGAACCCTTGGGGTTGCAATATATCTGTTTACTCTCTGAGGTGAAATAAATTTACAGTATAGCATCAAAGAGAGCGAGCGAGAGAGATGGAGCGGTTGCCTTGAGCGCACCGAGAGTTGGGGCTCTCCCAGCCCCGCCGGCCCCTCTCTGCTCGCTCTCCCCCCCTCCCCAAGACCCAGCAGAAGGTGAATGATTTTACCCGAGCTGATTCATAATTAATATGCACGAGGCTCGGGGCTCCTCTGACAGCAGCGGCACAAAAGGACGGCGAGCGCCGTTCCGCGTCCCCCCCGCGCATCCCGGCGCGTGGTACGGCCCAATAATTCCTAATAGCAGCAAGCAGCGAGTGACAGATGCCCTGGGTTAGCACAGCTCCAGCGAAAGTACTTTACAATATTTATTGGTGGTTAGGAAGATGACCTATCACCATAAAGAACAGACTGGGAAATTTATCGCCTCTATGAACCTGGAAGTATTGCATATTAGCTGATATACATATTCAAAAGCCGGTGGTTAAAAGGTGTATAAATATTTTAATTTTTTTCCCCTCCCATTAAAAACTAAAAAAAAAAAAAAAAAAAAAAAAAAAAGACACAATGTATTCCCAGCAGACAACTCCTCACCGCCGGGAAGGTGGTTTACATTTTACATTATGGGTGTTGGGATGGGAAAAACAACATAAGGAAAAGTCCTAAAAGAAAACTGTGACTAAAACCGTTTGTCTTAAGTGATAGAAGTGCACTTGCATTATGCATATTTTCCGCCCAGAAAGTGTCATACTTTCCAGAGTCTCTCCTTGCAAATGCTTGTTTCGTGGCGATCCGACCACCCCGGGAGGAGAAAGTCCTCGCCGAGCTGGAGGGAGGGAGGCTCTGGGGAGAGACCCCGGCACGGAGCGGCAGGAAGGGCATTAGCACATCCCAGCCCACCCCTGCCCGCTGCCAGACGGGAGCATTAGCACTCGGATCGCAACTTTTCGGGAACAGCGAGGGAAAACACAGCCAGGCTGCAGCCCCACGGGCTGGGGGGAGCAGAGGGGGAGCGCCACTTTTCTACTCAGCGCTTTCCCCTGCACTCTCGTGCCACCCTCAGCTTCACCGAGACAATTAAGACTTTCCTGTCATCTTAATGAAGATTTCCAAAAAGATGCGGGAGCTCACAAATGGACAGAAACCCCAGGAGTCCTCAGAGAGCTGAGGCAGAGCCTGGCAGGGAAAGCTGGATCCCGCTGAGGATGCACTCTCCCGTGGGAAGCTCCAGCTCCGGAACCGTGCGGGCCCCAGGCTCCTCTCCAGCTCACCCCCACCCTGGGCAGGTCAGCTGCAGGCAGGAGTGGGAAAAGCCTCCCAAACTGCCCCAAACCTGGCAAATTTGGCTTGGGTGGGTACTGCCGGCAGCTCGGTGTCACTCACAGGCCATTGCGGGGCGCATGGCAGGAAGGAAGGATTTGATTTCCCATCTCAGGAATTTTATTGATGAGAAGGTGGGAGAAATACTAATTTTAAACTGTTGAGGCTGCTTTAGAGGTTGTTCGGATGCCCATTTCCACGGCTTGCCAGCCTGGTGTGCTCCTAAACCATTAGCATAAAGGAGATATTCAGCAGAGAGTACTCCTGAAGAGCTGTTTTCTATCTCCTTTGGACACACCACGAAGACAGGGATATTTTACATCCTAAACCTTTGGCATTCAGAAATTCTATTAAACTCTTATCTGCAGGCAGCAGGCCTGGTGCTACACTGCATCTCCATTGTTCTGCACCCGCGATAGAATCAAAGGGAGGACTGGGTGGACTCGGCTCCCCTCCGCTCACAATGCTGCCTGCTCCTCTCCACCGCTGTTTCATTTAGAGCCGTAATGCTAAAACTTGAGAAACAAAAGCACAATAGATTCGGCGGGGAGGCAGCAGGGAAGTGTGTTTACTTGCGTGTGCTGCCCCATAAATTGGAGCACACGCAGCCTGCATGGATATGAGCACACACATGTGCCTCTCGGAGCGTTAAGAGAGGGATTTTATTACTGCTGCTGTTGCATTTATTAACACGCGACGCACCTACGAGCCCTAAGGCAGCTGACAGCTCTGAGAGCATCCGGCTGAGCTCTGGGCTGCCAGAGGGTGTTTGGCTTTTCTTTGTTCCCAAACTCGCCAGGCTTCCCTCTGCTCTCCTCCCAAAATGCTGCAAAGAATCGGCGCCTCTCCCGGAGTTTTTCCACTGCTATCAACTTCAGCAGTGGCAGGAATGCCCATCTCTCAGCCCCCAAATCCCTTCCTGCACCCAGAAAATCTTTGACTTAGGTCAAAAGCCCCACACCCCAGACTAGAGGAGCCCGCGGGAGAACGCGAGGCCACGCGTGGGCTCCAGGCAGCGGCGGGTCAGCACCACGGACAGCTCCTCCTGCTCCTCCTGCGCAGTTTCGACCTTTTAAAGTAATTTTTAGCCATTTTTTAAAACAGTGTTTCTCCCACACACACTCCCTAAACCTCTCCAGAGTCACTCCACAGCTGTTTTCAGGGAGGAGATAATTATCGGGTGTTTCCAGGTCTCAAAGAGCCGCCGCTTCCCTAAAGGGAGCCGGGCAGCAAAGAGGTCTGAAATAAATGTTCATGTATTTTCATCTTCAGGGGGTTTAAGACGGGGGCTCCAAGAGTCCCTGCCTGCAGGGTGCCTGCAGAGCTGAACCCAGAGAGGATTTTAAAAAGCAGATTCCCTTCACGCCCCTCCCCTGCTCTCCATGCAGTTTTTTCCCTCCTCGTGTTTTCAGATCAAGCTCTTCAAGTTCGAAATTATTTAAAATAAAACTCCATTTGCTTGTGTAAACATAAACCCACCGCACTGTGTTCCATTGGCTTCTTTGAGTCTGTTTCGAAGAAAATTAGATCTCAAACTTTACGCATTTGTAATTGGCACCAACTTCTCCGGTTACCAGCTGGGGGTGAAAGATTTTTTTTTTTCCTTGCTTCTTTCTGAAAGCTTCTATGCAGATGGGCTGGCTGCCTTAATGCCTCAGACTACAATTAGTGCTGTTGTATGCCGAATAGAAATGGCCAGCATTAATATTGTATATGGAACAGCTGAAGGGTTGCGAAGAAACCTGCCCACTACAGGCCCCTGGCAGATGGAACAACATGCACAGGCACAAAAAAACTTTTAATAACCCTTTGCTCGCTCTCCAGCGCACCCCTTCGCTCCGATTTGGGCGGGTCTTTCCCGAAGAGGCAATGCCTTTGTCTAAGCCAAATCTAGAGCTCTTTTCTCCCTGAAGAACAATAATTGGAGCAATCACCATCTTTTGCAAAAGGCACCTCGCATTATCCCAAAACTTCCTCCTTTGTACCTCGGTTAATGCAGGCGCTGAAATGCTCACCCAGCTGAACGGGCACGAACTAACTTTTTATTTAACAACATCGTGCAAGAGGGGTGGAAAAAGAGCCTATAAAGCCAAACCAAACCCCTTGCCCAGCAGAACTGCGACCAGAAGCTGCAGAAAACAGGATTTTCTCCTCGTCCCCCTCCCCTACGCTCCTCGCCCTTTGTAATTAGGTGAAAGCCGCGGCAGCGGGGACAAAGCCCCGCCGGTGCCTCGCAGCAGCAGCACCGGGGCCGCGCACCCCCCGCACCTGAAGCCCCCTCGCAGCTGAGCCCGGAGCGCAGCGCGGAGGGGCGGGGGTGAGCCCGGCACCTCGCTCGGGAAACGCGAACACGGGAGTCCTGCGCCCCGAAATGCACTCGGGAATCTCCTTCTACCTCCTAACGGGGGAAAATACTATAAAACAAGGAGGGATCAATTTGCGGGTCTATATTCCCCAGCCCTCGGCCACTGAGCCCCTTTGCCAAGGCGTGAGTTCGGCAGAATTGAGAAACTCGAGAGTTTCAGAGGAGAAACGAGGGAGACCCACTAAGGAATATCCTCCCTACACTCCCACCGCACCCCCCGGCGAAGGGCTACGAACCGAGGAAAGTCCCGCAGAGCTTCATCCTTGCCGGGTGGCGGTGGCTGCCTGGCCCGGGGTGGCGGGGGGAGCGGGCGCGGAGCCGCCCGGGGTTACTCCATCATCCCTGGCAAAAGTTCCCGTCCGGAGCAAAAACTTATGGGCGGCGGCGGCCAATGGGGCCGCGCCGCAAAATCCTCGCAGCGCACTCGGCGGCCAATCCGCTCCCCCCCGGGCCGGGATGCGCAGCCCCCTCCCGGCCCCTGCTCCTGCGGGGGGAGCCGGGCATGGGGACCCGTCCTCCCTCCCGCGCATCCCTCCTGCCGGTAATTAGGGGACAGAAGTGACAATGGGCACATCCCAGCGCAGGGGGGTGGTGGGGCAGACACATGACCCCAGGCGAAGCATCCCCAGAGAAACCAGCCATGGAATGGTTTGGGTTGGAAGGGACATTAAAGATAATCTCATTCCAACCCCCTCCCACGGGCAGGGACACTTTCCACTATCCCAGGTTGCTCCAAGACCCATCCAACCTGGCCTTGAACACATCCAGGGGTGGGACAGCCACAGCTTCTCTGGGCAACCTGTGCACACCTGAGCCCCCAGCTGGGCCAGTGGACAGGGACAGAGGCCACTGCCCTGAGGACAACCCACAGTGTGGCAGCGCTCTGCACAGCCACCACTCACTGGACTC